CTCTCTCGACCTCGGCTTGTAACCAGATTTCAACCTTCCCCACTTCTCGACCTCGGCTTGGAAAACGGACCTCTACCTTCTCCACTCCCAGACCTCGGCTTGGAAAACGGACCTCTACCTTCTCCACTCCCAGACCTCGGCTTGTAAAAACGGACTTCCTTACTTTCCACTCCTAACGCTCAGCTTATTCATAGAGAGTCATAATCTCTCCTCCATTGGGTGAATTAACCCTTCCAATACCAGAACTTCCTCTAAGTTAAGTAATCCTTTTTCTCCAAGGAAACCAATTCATATTAATTATTTTCACTTCATTCCTCTCTTGTCAATAAGGGATTACTACTAAGTCTTATTTCTCCTGCAAATATCATTTATTATTAATTGCAACCTGTCCAGCTTATTTATCATTATACTAACAAATCATTCCATCTTAATTAAGTTGGGACTAGCATTGCTTTCCTTCCTGCATGTGTATTTAAAGATACAGTCAAGCTTGTTTTACTTCAATATAAAGGAGGTGTAATTATTGTTTCTGCAGTTGAGTTCCAATTAAAGGGATATTACACAATCCCATCACAGAAGGAGGTCTGGGCCTGATGAGTGTCAAGGCCACAGGCCTGGATGAAACACAGAACAAATTCAAGTACATCACAAAGATGGCTCCCAAAGATGTACTGCTAAGGGAATGTCTGAGACAACAGATAGATCAGGTTCCAGCAAGACAAACCTTTCCATATAGTGGATGTCGCTCACATGACAAAATCCTACCCGTAGATGGAAACAGCAGGACTGAAAGACAGCACTGAGGCACTAATCCTAGCAGCACAGGGACAGGCACTTAGAACCAGATCAATAGAAGCTGGAGTCTACCACACCAGGCAAGACCCAAGGTGAAGACTGTGAGGCAGTCCAGCACCTAGTAGCCAGATGCAAGATGTTAGCAGGAACAGCATACATGGAGAGACACAACTTGAAGACCCACAGCTAAGATCCTGTGGGTCTTCAAGTTCCAGACAGACAAGCAATCTAACCAACCAACCTGACATTATGCTGGTAGAAAAGGAACAGAAAACTGCAGTCATGGTGGATGTGGTAATACCCAGCGACTATGACATCAGGAAGAAGGAACATGAGAAGGTGGAAAATATCAAGGACTGAAAGAAGAGCAGGATGTGGAAAGTGAAGGCAGTAGTAGTACCAGTTGTGATAGGACTCTAGCTGTGACTCCCAAGTTAGGGAAGTGGCTTCAACAAATTTCAGGTGGGACATCTGAGATCACTGTCCAGAAGAGTGCAGTTCTAGGAACAGCTAAGATACTGGGAAGAACCACCCGACCTCTGGCAGTAGATCTGAGAATGAGGAATAAACATACCAACCAGGAGGGGTGAGGAAATCTATTTTTTTTTTATTCTATTCTCTCACTAAATGTTATGTCACCTGGATAAGTTTCTTTTGCCAAGGGAAACAGTTGAGTTGAAATTTTGTACTAATCATTTTTACCATGCCAAGCAAGACCTAAGGTGTAGACAATGCAAAGAGGCCTCTGAGACAATCCAGAGCATAGTTGTTAGGTGCAAGATGTTGGCAGGAACAGCATACACCAAGAGACACAACCATCTACTGAGAATATGGGCTTGAACTGTCTAAGACCAGATGGGGATATTACAAAAGGTAGTTTAGAATTACAGTGTGTAGATCTTGTGGGGCTTTCAGATTCAGACAGAAAAGCAAGTATCTTCCAACCAATCTGACATTTTGGGAGTGGACAAGGAACAGAAGACTTCAGAGGTCGTGTATGTGGCAATACCCAGTGTATATACTATCAGGAGGTTGGAACATGAGAAGATGGACAAATAGCAAGGACTGAATGAAGAGCTACAAAGGATGTGGAAAGTGAAGGCAGTATTAATTCCAGTTGTGATAGGAGCACTTAGGGCTGGGATTCCCAAGTTGGGGGAGTGGCTTCAACAAATTACTGTTGAGTAAAGTTGAGAGAACCCGGAATGTAAAGTTCGGGTTCGTACCGAACATTAAGTTTTTTGGACCCCGGACCCATCACTGTATGTTCGGGTTGGAGTTGGGTGTTCGGCGATTTAATGGCGCTTTTTGAAAGGCTGCAGGGCAGCCAATCAACAAACAATTGACTCATGTGCCTTTAGAAGCCATGTGAATGGCCAGTGCAGCATGGGACCCAGGCTCTATATATAAGCTGGAGTCGCGTAGCGTTGCACACACATGAGTTCTTATTAGCGTAGGGAGAGGATGCTGCCGCTTTCAGGGACAGATTAGGAAAGAATTCTGCAAACTAGTACATTAGTGGGGTGCACTTCATATCTGAGAGTTAAATAGAAGCGTCAAATATTGTGGTTACATCAGAGTTTTAAAAAGTCTATTTTTTTGGTGCTAAATAGTAAATTTGTGGTGTGCACTTCATATCTGAGAGTTAAACAGAAGCGTCAAATACTGCTGTCACATTTCAGTTTTAAATCTTAAATTTTTTGGGGTGCTAAAAAGTACATTAGTGGGGTGCACTTCATATCTGAGAGTCAAATAGAAGTGTCAAATACTGTGGTCACAGCACAATGGTAAAAATTCCAATTGTTTTGGTGCTAAACTGCTAAATAGTACATTTGAGGCATGCTCTTCATATCTGAGAGTCAAATAGAAGCGTCAAATACTGCGGTTACAGCGCAGTTGTAAAAATTCTAATTGTTTTGGTGCTAAACTGCTAAATAGTAAATTTGGGGCCTGGTCTTCATATCTGAAAGTCAACTAGAAGCGTCAAATAGTGCGGTTACAGCGCAATTGTAAACATACTTATTTTCTGGGTCGAATCTGCTAAATAGTAAATTTGGGGCCTGCACTTCATATCTGAGCGTCAAAGAGAAGCATCAAATACTGCGGTTACAGCGCAGTTGTAAAAATTCTAATTGTTTTGGTGCTAAACTGCTAAATAGTAAATTTGGGGCATGCTTTTCATATCCGAGAGTCAAATAGAACCGTCAAATAGTGCTGTGACATAACAGTTTTAAACATTCCAATTTTTGGGCTGCTAAATAGTACTTTTGTGGCCTGCGGTGCACCTCATATCTGAGAGTCAACTAGAACCATCAAATATTGTGCTTACATTGCAGTAGGTCCTGGGGAGAAAGCGAAGCTAAGCGTACAAGGGCACATGTAGGAGTGTGGGGATAGATCGATCTGATTGGTTGGGAAAAGAGTGTGTGGGTGGGATTATGTTCTGTGTAAGTTAGTGTGGGGGAGGTCTTACCTCAGTGCCACTTGGGATTTGGGCCAGCAAATAGCTTCCCTCTCTCCCGCCCGCCCTATTGGTATATTTAGTCACAGCTAGCCGGGGTATGTCATTGCCAATTGAGTTTGAGGGGTCACGTTTAAGTATATGGAATGAGATGAACAAGTTTTAAGGTCTCAACCTCCCCTGCTTCAAACGGTTAACATTAGGTTGTCTGAGGTGTCGTGCCCATCGAGCGTGGATAGGCTGATTACGGGCATTGGAAAGATATCATTTTATCACAAGGGGGGAGGTGAGAGGAAGAGGGAGTGGTGATTAGGAACCACTGTATGTTTATTGGCAAGGACAGTTGGGTCACTGTATAACACTATGTGTGGAGTTATATATGTATATATGTTAATTTATGCTTATTTATGTCTAACGTTTTGGTTAAAGAAAGAGAAGAGATTTAATAAACATAGTTATGGATGTGTTATGCAATACTTTAGTTTGTAATAAATGCTGTGGCCTGTTTCATCCATACTAAGGGGTTGAATGGGGTTAGTTTTTGTCCTAGGCTGCATCGTGATTCCCTACTATGTAAATACATGTAAAAATTCTAATTCTTTGGGTGCTAAGAAGTAAATTTGGGGTGTGTAGTTCATACCTTAGAGTCAAATAGAACCTAGAACCATCAAACACTGTGCTTAGAGCGCACTTTGAAAAATTCAAATAGTTTTGGGTGATAAAAAGTTAATTTGGGGTGTGCACTGCATGTCTGACAGTAAAACAGAGCCATCAAATACTGTGGTTACAGCGCAGTTTGACCAATTCAAATTTTTTTGGGTGCTAAATAGTACATTTGTGGCCTGCACTTCATATCTGACAGTCAAATAGAACCGTCAAATACCAATATAACAATATTGTAATTCGGGGGCAATACCCTCACAAGTCAATCTGAGAGGTCAGTTTATAGGGAAAACTGTTGCCTGGATACAATTCTAAAACAATTCCCATATGTCCTTTGCAGAGTTTACATGCTGGAAAAACACAGGTGCCAACTGCTGTGGCTTTCTGCTGTGTGCAGGCTGGCAAGGAGGGCAGGGTTGAGGAGTGGGTGGAAGATGATGTGGAGGATGATGAGGTCCTAGACCCCACATGGAAACAAGGTCATGCGAGTGACGTTTGTAGTTTGGAGGAAGAGGCGCTGGTCGCACATAGGCACCAGCACAGCATAAGAGGGAGCAGGGTGCAAAAGCAGAGCGGCGGTCCCCTAGCGATCGTCGGCATGTATTATCTTTAGAATTCCCACAGTTATCCAAGTAACAGATGGAGCTATAAAAGGAACCATAACAGATTTAATGAGACATTCGCAGTTTCACAATCCGTTGACCAGGACCCTGATGCAGCTTCAGTAAAAAGAGCACTGGATACCAGAAGCCATCACCAGACTGATCCCCAACTTGGAACAGGGTGTGACATTCACTGTAGCGGCTATGCATGCTTTCTGAGTTCTCAACCTGCTGCTTGCCTGTCTGCGCTGCAGCGTAACTTTGGCCTTCCTGCTCACCACCTCATATGCGACATGCCCACAAGGTGGAACTCCACCTTGCACATGCTGAAGAGACTGTCCGAGCAGCAGCAGGCGATAGTGGAGTTTCAGCTGCAGCACGCATGTGCCAGTCGCTCTGCACCAGACTTGCCCTCCAATTGATCATCAAGTGGACTCATTACAATTACAGGGCCTCTAAAAAGTCCCGTATTATTTGTCATCACTACCTCCCCGCGTCAGGAGTGGGTAATTTGCACGCCTGCTGCCTTCCTTGGATGTGGTAGCCTTTTCTCAGGGTGCCTTTCCGGAATTGAAAGCTTCAGCAGCTCTTACCAATACTTCTTGGGTCTTGGGCTGGTGGTTTCTCACCAGCCGTGTCCCGTGATAGGAGTTGAGCCAGTTCTGGGTGGCCCTTGTGATGCAGCATGCCCACTCTGCATGGGAGTCCTTCTCCCCTTTCCGGGTCTCCCTAAACTTTCGGTGGTATTGCTCGGGGGTGCCCGCATACCGGGCCAGGAGGATTTGTGTAATAAAGGGATAGTCTCTGATCTGCTCTTCTGGTACAGCCTGGTAAATGTCAGCTGCTTTCCCCACTAGTTTGCTGGCCAGGATAGTGACCCAGTCGCTGGGGTCCACGTCTTGGAGTAGGCACTGGCGCTCAAAGTCTTGTAAAAAGTAATCAATGCCTTCTTCTGCTTCCTTGAACTCTTTGAAGGCATTCTATGGTAGCTTGTGGCCCCGCGGTGGTTGTGCTTCCCGGCACCCTCTGCTCCCTTTTTCCTTCATATGGGTTCATTGAGGTCGCCCTCCAAAAAGGTCCTGCTGACAATCTCCTCCGAGGGTGGCTCTCGGTAATATGCCAGGCGCTGTTCCACCTCCTTGCACACTTCCTCCTCATCTCCGGCCCCTGGCTGGGGTTCGTTGCCTCACTGCGTGCCTGGTCATCCTCCATGAGCTCAGCAGTCAATTCGGCCTTGTTACGCCACCAGGCATTATTCCTCTGGCTTCACACAAGTTCTGCAGTGTAGGTCGCTTTAGAGCACTGTAGTCCATGGGTTTGCTGGCAGGGACATGGGATCTTGTCACCAATTGTGGGACCTGGTTAACTGATGGTTATCCCTTTTGATTAGAATAGGTCAGACCCATCTCCCCAGTAACTGGATGGGAAACCGTTCCAGGATACAACGTTTGACTATCTTTATTTGGGTACACAGCTTTGCTTCATGTTACCTCCTCCTCCTACTCCGTTTCCTCCTCCTCATCCGGTCAGCATAACACCTTCACCACCAACTTCAGCACAGCCAGGGAGAAATGACAGCAGACTGTTTTAAAACTCATATGTTTGGGGGAAAAACCCCACACCATGCAGGAGCTGTAGACGAGCATGGAACAACAGACAGATGAGAGGTTGTTGCAACTGAGCCTCAAGCCCGGCCTGGTGGTGTGTTAATGCGCAAAATCTCGTAGCAGCTCTGGGCCTAGCTGGTTTGATGCACATGCCTTGCCTGGCGCATGTGCGGAATTTGGTGGTGCAGAAATTCCTGAAAAACTACCCATATATATCAGAGCTTCTGCAGAAAATGCGTGCCATCTGTGCGCGCTTTCGTCGTTCTCACCCTACTGCTGCTTGCCTGTC